TATGCTTTCTCTCGCTGTACTTTGATGTCATACACCGATCGATCTTCAAGTGGAACACACCTCTTTACTCTAACGTGTCACGTGACCGAATGTAATCGCAGCCTCTGCGATTGAAAAATCGCGTTTTTTCATATCGCGATATTATTGCAAATGCAATTAATCGTTCAGCCCTATAATGAATTGTTTTTAATGTCTACCACAAAAAACATCTCCTGCTCCTACACTCCTGAAGCTGACATTTGTCGCGTTAGCCTTGAATGTTCACAGAGTGAGTTTTGAGAGACTGACACTGATTCAGACGGCAGTCCCTGTAAATGTGTGAATGATCTCTGACCAGGGCTCTAGGCAGTGTTGTGTGTAATTCCTCTCCGTCGCTGTTTTTCAGATGAACCCGAACCCTCTGTTGCTGCTGCCATCGCTCCTGCTCTCCTTCAGTTTCCATCAGGTACGTTTCAGCTTTGCTGCTGTGCTGGGGTTGCTTCCGTCTTTGTCGTGTTGCCGTTTGATTGTTTGCATTTCAGGGTGACATTTGACCAGTGCTGAGTGATGTAAATGTAATCTCTTGTGAGTTAACAACTGAAGTAACCTAATCAGTACAAGGAGTGATCTGGACTAGGGTTGTCATGATACCAGTACCAGTGAACTTTGTTGATTTTCAGTCATCATAATACCACTATAAAGACTGAAATGCCATTAAACACATTCCATCATTTTGAACTCCACTTACTCAAAATGCTTGTATAAATAAAGTGACATTAAGATGATGATGTCTTGTTGTTTGGACTGTGAGCTCCAGTAGAGTCAGTATAACCTTACTGACATTCACAAGCCAAGCCTTCTCTAAAATACCATTGGTAACTGCGGCACCCATGTACCAAATTGAGTTTACTGCCGACAGCATGGAAAAAAGGCATTATTGTGATTTTTTTCTGTCTTTTTTGGTATTGAAACACTGGCACTATTGACAGCCCTAATGCAGAGTCAGTTTTGCTGCAGAATGTGATCCTGGAACGGCTGAGATGATTGATGTTAGTCTTGATTTGAAAGCTTTCAGATGGTGGATTGTTCTGCCTTCCTCCTGACTTTCCCTTGTAGCGAGATAAGCCTGTGATGCTTTGCATCAGCTAATCTTTACAGCAAGCCTCAGTTAACCTCATCATATTTCATTCTTTCAGAGCAGATATGTATAAATAGATTTTAGAGAGAAAAGCAGATGCTTTTACTGAAGAAGAAATGGTCTAGAAACATGATCAAGCTCTTGGAAATCAGAATCTCATCTTCAGTAGTCATAAATTAGTTTAGTTTGTAGACTGTGAAGCCTCACAGGATCGTCCGTATCCCAGGCTCCGGTTAACCACAGTCTCGCTCTGATCCCGCAGACCGCTGCGATTCTCCACCCGTAGCTGCACGGGCCAGCGCTAGTCTTGCTATGGATCCATTGGGACATACGGACTCGGCAGCGTTCGACCCGGATGTGTTGAGCCAGTCCAATGACGACTTCATGTTCGAAATGAAAAAGAGTACATTCCAGGCGTTTCCCCCCGTGAGCGACAGCCTCGAGGAGACCACCGCTGCCAGGAGATCAGTGGAGGTGTCTGAGAGTCCGTCTCCAGACCTGGTGCAGGACGCGTACGATGAAGGCCACGTGCCGTCAGAGGAGCTCAAACCGGAGACTGATGCAGTCTCCCTTTCGTATGCGCCATCCGACCTTTATTCAAACATCGACACGGCATCTGACGACCGACCAACGTCTCTCCCAGATATTCTCAAGTCGTCTCCGCTGAACCCTGACAAACTGGACTCGGGCTCGTCAGAAGGAAGCCCTGATTTCAGCCCGGTTCACAGAAGTGTGGACAATTCCCCAAATTCCCCGTTCACTGCTAGCAGTCCCTTTGGATTTGACTCCAAGATCTTGCTGCTGAAGGAGATGACCGAGGAGACGGAGGTCAGAGCTATGGAGATGGCCAAGCTGGAAACGGAGAACAACTCCGAGCAAAGTTTCACCGCTTTCGATCTTGTGAAAGAGACAGAGGTGTCTCCGAAGAGCGACGACCTTCTTAAGGACAAAGAGGTGATCAGCCAGACCGCAGTTCAGACGGCTGACAGATTTGAGTGTCTCGGCTTCCCCGGCGGAAACACTCGAGAACCATCTGATTCTGAGAGTCCGTCAGCAGACTCCTTCTCCCCGGTGCTGGATGCAGTCACGCAGGAGCGGCGAGCCATCCAGGGGGCGATGGACACCGCCGAGGAGGCGTCGGAGCAGGAGGTCTCATCTGAAGAGTTTGAGTTTGTGGAGCGGCCGCCGCGAGGAGCCGCTGAGGAGTTTCTGGAAATGCAGGATAGCCTGGCCTTCAGTAAACCCTCAGAAATGCCGCAGGATGAAGACAGATCTCCTAAACTGGAGCCTCAGGAGGTGGCAGATCACACGCCTACGATCAAAGACGCAGAAAAACAAAGCTCTTACCATCTCCTCACCCAGGCGTCAGACAAACCTTCTCCTGCGAGAGGTAAAGCGGGCCTGGAGTCTGATTTCCAGGAAATCTCCCCAGCTCCTGTAATCCGTCCTCCAGCGGATAAACCCAGAGCCGAGGAGAAGGAAGCTGAAGGCAGCATGTGTGATCCGAGTGCAGCGGCAGGTAAATTCAGCACAGACCGCCATCTTCACCGGACCTTTTCATTTACCCATCAATTTCTGTCCGTGTACCTTCATCATTTGTGTTTTGTCTTTTATTGCCCTCATCGTTCATGCGTCTCTCATGCATCTCACCTTTGGCATGGCATGATGTTATTATGACTCCGTTTGCATGATCACCTTTCCCTTTGATTTGTTCAGTGTCCCACCAAATGTGGCCCAATATAACAATACAATTGGTTTATGATTGACTACTTGCTTTCATATTGCAATCAGGATTATTTTTCTCACATATAAATGTGAGCATTAGTGAATTGATTAACTGTATGTAGCGTTGAGGCTTCATACGAGGCTCTTTTCAGCACATTTTTCAGCCGTGATGAAGCACCGCAGCAGGCATGCTGTAGGTCAAGAGCTGGATCTCTGTGGGACTGTGTTTACAGAGCACTAACACTGCTCATATGCCTATCTCAATCAGACTGGACTTTACGCCTGGTCCTGAAGGTTTGTCAAGAGTGTGAATGGAGAGAGCGTGCAGTTTGAGCGGGAGTGTCTGCGTTCACACATTTATAGTGTGGAGTCAGATTTTAAGTGCAGTATGTGTAGCTGTAGGGGTGTGCGATATATATTGTCTGAGATAATATCGTAATTGTTGTTTTAACGATGTGCGATACTCGACACTATCGTGTATATCGCAAAAACCAAACCAAACACCTACAGAGACGCATACATGATGTGAAGTCTAGTAAGTTAGACTAGCGCGTGTGCGAGTGTGTTCTTTCACTGCATGATTCAGTCTATTAAAATACATTTAGAATGATCACAAAATTCAAGAAATGGGGCAGAAAATGTATATATCTATTTCATTTCATAGTTAATCAATATCACACGAAGAGTGCCGTTTTTTTCTCCAAAAATCAGCATGATTACAAATGTGATATTGATTTTATACAACAGTTCAATAAACAAGAAATCATAATAAGAGACTTGCGTTTAGATGTTTTTGCTCTATTTCGCCAACAAAAATAATTCCAAATAACACTGTTTTAGTTCTCTGAGCAACAGGATGGTGTTTCGTTCCTGAATGAATCAAGCGTTTAAATGATTCGGTTCAATCGCAATGACTCACTTATTAACAGTGACTTGCTGCCACCTACTGGTGGTTTTAATTGCACATTTAAAATATATTTTTATTATTTAAATAATTTCAAATATCAGTATTCAACATTTTATGTTTAATATATCAAAACATTATAAATGCATGTTAAATGCATTCATTCCCTGCATTAAACAGTGAGTAAACGCATCTAAATGCCACTTCAGATGCAGATGCAGCTTCTGTGTTTCCTCTGCATTGCAAAGATGAATTTAGTTGATACTGATTTCATTTGCTTGGTAACAGCCCAAATGTCTTATTATTCTAATTCACTGATTAAATGTAAGAATTTCA